ACCAGGAATTACCCGCCTCCCCCCCACCCCTACTCCGCCAACCCCCAGGCTGCCTGCCTGCCTTCTCCCAGGGACTTCCCGGCCTCCAGCCCAGCCTGCGATGTCAGATCACGCTGCACGTTCATGTCACTGGTTTTCTTTTCAATATCTTTGTATTGATTTCAGAGAGGAAGGGAGAGGGAGAGAGAGAGAAATATCCATGATGAGAGAGAATCACCCATCGGCTGCCTCCTGCACGCCCCACACAGGGGATGGAGCCCGCAACCCGGGCCTGTGCCCTGACCGGGAATCGAACCGTGACCTCCTGGTTCCTAGGTGGACGCTCAGCCACGGAGCCACGCCGGCTGGGCAGCGGTTTTCATTTGCAATGGGGTATCTCGCTGTGAGACACCTGGAATAATGTCTGTCCCCTCTTTGGGGGTGGGGTGGGGAGCATCCGGCCTTCGGGCTGTATAAGGCCTGAGAAATCATGGTCTGGCCCTGACGAGGCATTAGGGCTGAGTTAGTTAAATGCTTGACCAAACATAGCAGGCTAATTTATACATGTTTTTATTTTTTTTAAAATATATTTTATTGATTTTTCACAGAGAGGAAGGGAGATAGAGAATTAGAAACACCGATGAGAGAGAAACATCGATCAGCTGCCTCCTGCACACCCCCCACTGGGGATATGCCCGCAACCCAGGCACATGCCCTTGACCGGAATCGAACCTGGGACCCCTCAGTCCGCAGGCCGACGCTCCATCCACTGAGCCAAACCGGTTTTGGCTATACATGTTTTTATTATCGATTTCAGAGAGGAAGGAAGAGGGAGAAAGAGATAGAAACACAGTTCGATTCCCGGTCAAGGCACAGGCCTGGGTTGCGGGCTCGATCCCCAGTGAGGGGCGTGGAGGAGGCAGCCGATCCGTGATTCTCTCTCATCATTGATGTTTCTCTCTCTCTCCCTTTCCCTTCCTTTCTGAAATCATTAAATATATATATATATTTAAAAAAAGCTTTTCTGCAGGAACATGTGCCAATGTTCACTCTTAGCCTTTCCCTGTCTTTATATCCAACCAGGTCAGGTTTGGCCACGAAATGGTTTTGCCAGGAACGTATGGGAAAAGCCGCGGTTTTCATAAATGGTTAGAACTTGGCACCGTGGGGCCTGTGATAGAAGCTGCTAATGAGTCTCTATGGGTGTGTGTGTGTGTGGGGGGGGTGTTTTCCTCCTTCAGGAACCTGATACCACGTTGAGGAGGGCGCCCGACCGACCAACCGACCGACCGACCAATACCAGGCCAAGGCGTCCTTCGGGCCTGGGGGGCGGAGCGGCAAGGGGAGCCTGCCTGCTCTATGTCCTCACGGGGAAAGGGACGAAATACCTCCGGCCCTGGCCGGTGTAGCTCACTAGTTAGAGCATCAGCCTTTGGACTGAAGGGTCCCGGGTTCGATTCCGGTCAAGGGCACGTACCTTGGTTGCAGGCTCTTCCCCCGGCCCGGGCCCTGGTCAGAGCGCGTGCAGGAGGCAACCAATCTACGTGTTTCTCTCACATCGATGTTTCTCTCTGTCTTTCCCTCGGGTGAGGATTAAAAATAAATAAAGGAAAAAACAATTCTTCTCTTGCTTCATATTGGTGCTCGCTGCTATCCCCACAGTCCCTCCCTGCACAGCTGTGCCCGGCCAGGCTCCTGTGGGCTCCTGCCTCTCGGGGTCAAAGGCGAGGAAGCAGAGCCCTGCCCAGGAGGAAGGTGGCGGGCACACCCGGCAGGCCCACCGCCCACACTCTGCCATCACATGCCCGCCCCCCAGGCCGAGGCCCACAATGCGGCTTTGTGTGGCAGCTGGCTGGGCACACTCACATGTCTGGGGCAGCCCTGGCTGGCCGGCGGTGCCCGCCCTGGAGGCCGGAGATGCCAGGCTGTAGGGCCAGAGGATGCGCCTGCCCAACCCTTCAGGGCCCTGGGCCCAACGCTCTCTAGGAATCACCTGGGCTGGCCTGGGACCCCAGGAGAGAGGGCAGCCTCCAGCAGTACCCCAAACTAGCAGGACCTGGAGGGCACCCTGGCACCGCTGGCTACTCAGCCTGCCTAGCCAGAGCTCCCAACAAAGCATTTACTTATTGATTGATTGATTTCAGAGAGGGGAGAGGGTGAGAGAGAGAAACATCAATGTCGAGAGAGAATCACTGATCAGCTGCCTCCTGCACGCCCCCTACTGGGGATCGAGCCCACACAAACCTGGGCATGTGCCCTTGACCAGAATCGAACCCGGGACCCTTCAGTCTGCAGGCCGACACTCTATCCACTGAGCCACACCAGCTAGGGCCCAGCAAAGCATTTAGGTAAAACAAGAACATAAGGGCAGCCCAGACAATTTTTACAAAGCCGATTGTATTTGTAATATAATTTTTTTCAGGTGTAAAAACATCCTGTTTTGGGGTGTGTGTGTGTGTGTGTGTAATATCTTTTTATTGATTTTTGGAGAGGGAGAGAGAAATAGAAACATCAATGATGGCAGAGAATCATGGATTGGCTGCCTCTTGCACGCTGCCTACTGGGAGAGAGAGATGGAGCCTGCAACCAGGGCATGTGCCCCAACCGGGAATCCAACCGTGGCCTCCTGGTTCACGGCTGATGCTCAACCACTGAGCCACGCTGGTCGGGCTGTCCCCTCCCGGCTGAACCCAGAGGTCCCCAGAGCCAGGTCCGGGCCAGGTCCGGTGGGTGCCGGGCAGTGCTCACCTAGCCTGGCTGGGGTGACCGCAGGGACAAGGCCGGGCCGGCTCTGGGGACTAGGAACCACCCTGCCTGGGCGGCCCCAGGCCATTTGCATCACAAAATAGTTAGCGTGTGAGGGTGGGAGCTGGGAAACGCCCCCTTCATTTGCATATCAAAAGCCATTGGCCAAAGCTGCTTTGTCCAGTCCGCCCCAACACTCCCTAAACCATTGTGGGACGGTGCGCAGCTGCCAGCATCTACCCACTGGGTCCCCCCCATCCAGGAGCCTCGAAACTGCAGCCCATCTACACACCGTGCTTGCGAGGGACACGGCCAGGGCCACAGGGCTCCCCCGGAACAGGGCGAACTCCGCAGGTGAGATGAGGCCTCCAGGTCCACCTGGAATTAAGTGTCCGGGACCTGGAAGGAGAGAAGCAAATGGCCTTGTACATTGTACATGCACCTGCCCCTGGTACAGGACCTACCCTGGCGCCTGACCATCTGATGATCCGCTGACAACAGGCGATTTCCCACTTTAAAGATGGGGGGCCCGGTGGTTGAGCCTCGACCTAGGAACCAGGAGGTCACAGTTCGCTTCCCTGTGAGGGCACACGCCCGGGTTGCGGGCTCGATCCCCAGTGGGGGGCGTGCAGGAGGCAGCCGATCCATGATTCTCTCTCATCATGGATGTCTCTCTCTCTCCCTTCCTCTCTGACATCTATAAAAAATATATTTTTAAAAAGTTATTAAAAAGTGAACTCCCGCCCGAGCTGGTTTGGCTCAGTGGATAGAGCATCAGCCTGCGAACTGAAAGGTCCCAGGTTGGATTCTGGTCAAGGGCACGCGCCTGGGTTTCGGGCTCCATCCCCAGTGGGGGGCGTGCAGGAGGCAGCCAATCCATGATTCTCTCTCGTTGATGTTCCTCTCTCCCTCTCCCTTCCTCTCTGAAGTCAATAAAAATACACTAAAGAAATAAAAGAAGAGAAGAAAAACGATCCGGGGCTGCAGGGTCCGGTAAGGGGCTCGCTGCAAAGTTAGGCACCGGCCACACTCGGGCGCTGGCCCAGGCCCGGAGGAGAACGGCGAGGGCGGAGGGGGTGCGCGTGCGGGCGCCTTGGAGAGTCAAGGGCAAGTTGACGGGGCCCGGGAGCGGGTGGGGGCGGATGGAGAGCTGGGCGCAGCCGAGCCTTTCCACCGGGAGCGGGTGGGTGGCGCGCAGTGGGCGGGGTCCCCGCCGCTGGCACCGACCGACCGCGGTGGGAGAGGGGCGGCCTGGAGAAGTTGGCTGCGGGCCTGGGACTGGGAGGAGGGAGCCCGAAGAAGGGGCCCGCGCTCCCCGAACGGCGCGCCGACCGCCCCTGCACGTAGTCCGCTCCCGCCAGCAAAGGGCGGCGGTGGGCGCGACCCCCACGCCGCCAGGTTAACAGCCACGGCTCCGGGGCCCGTCCGGCTCCGGCTGCCCCCGCCTCCAGGGCAGCGCGGTCCCCGGCCGCCCGGGGCCAGTCGGCGCAGCTCCCGGTGCCTCTCGATCGCGCTCGCGGCCCCGCCCCAAACCGTTGCCCCGCTCCAGACCGGGACGCGACTAGGGCCCGAGCGCGGAGGGGGACGATCGGCCACCCAGGAGCCCTTCTGGGGCGGGGGCGGCGGGAGTGGTTCCGCCCCCAGGCGCGGCCGAGGGCCCCGCACCCAGCCCCGGCGGGCACGCCTCCTCGTGGTGCAAACCTCGCTCCGGAGGGGAAGGAGCAGCGGAGGCGCACCCACCCCGGCGCCCCTGGCGGGCGGGGCTGGATGGACAAAGGGGCGCCCCCCCACCCCCTCTCCAGCGCTCGCCTCCACACCGGGGTTCCAGGCCGTGACAGTACAAAAGGTCTGGCAGGAAAATACCCCGCGGGGTCCCCGAGGCGGGGGAGGGCGGGCCCACCGCGGGCGGGTGACGTGCGTCGGCGTGCCCGACTCCCAGCTCCACTGTGCGCCCCTCCTCCGGCGGGGCCTGGGGGCACGCCCATGGCCGCGCGTCGGCCCCGAGGCGGGGTCTGGGCTCCCCCAGCGGCCGGGATTGGTCGGGCCGTGGAGACCCAATGGGGACCGCCCCTAACCCGTGGGCACGCCCCCCTGTTGGGGCGCGGGGTGCGCGCTCCCGGATCCCCCGCCCCCTCCGCGCGCGCAGCTCCCCGCGGCCGCCGCCGCCGCCTGTAACCTGCGCCGCCAGGATGTGGCTGGGGGCTGACGTCGGGTCCAGATGTGGCCCCGGCCCCGCCCACCCCCGGGGGCCGGGCCGCCCACACCGAGCCGCGGCGCGCACGGCGGCGGTCCCGCCCGCCTGCCACAATGCGCGGCGAGGCTGCGGCCGCGACTTGGCGCCGTCGTCCCTAACGTCGCCGCTCGGCACCCTGAGGACCGGCCGCCCCTGACGCCGGACGAGGGGACCCCCGCTCCTTCTCGCCAACCCCACCCCTCCATGCGCTCGCTCTGTGGGGCCCGGCCGGGCGGGCGCCTCGCGGACGCGGAGTCACGCGGGTGACGGCAGAGGCGGCCGGGAGCCCCCGTGCCGCCGGCGGAGAGGGCACGCCGCGCCCCCGCCCCCCTTCTCTCCCCCCCCCGCTCGCCCTCGCTCCCCGGAGGTTGTGGGTGCGGATGCGCCTCTGACGAGTCGCCGCGACGAGCAGCGGAGCCTGCAGCATGGCAGCCGCCGCCTATGTCGACCACTTCGCCGCCGAGTGCCTCGTGTCCATGTCCAGCCGCGCGGTCGTGCACGGGCCGCGGGAGGGGGGGCCGGAGCCGGGCCCCGAGGGCGCGGCCGCCGCCGTCGCCGCCACGCTGCCCCGCGTCGAGGAGCGCCGCGACGGCAAGGACAGCGCCTCGCTCTTCGTGGTGGCGCGCATCCTGGCGGACCTCAACCAGCAGGCGCCCGCGCCCGCCCTGACGGACCGCAGAGAGGGCGCCGGGGCCCGCAAGGCGCGGACCCCCTGCCGCCTGCCGCCGGCCGCGTCCCCGGCGTCCGATCCCGCTTCCCCCGGCGGCGATGGCGCGGCCGCCGCGCCCCTCAGCCCCGCGTGGAGCGAGCCCGAGCCCGAGCCGGAGCCCGAGGCGGGCGTGGAGTCGGGGCCCGCGGGGAGCGGCGAGCCCGGCCTCAGACAAAGGGGCCGGCGGGGCCGAAGTCGCGCCGACCCGGAATCCCCGCAGCGGAAGCACAAGTGCCACTACGCGGGCTGCGAGAAAGTTTACGGCAAATCCTCGCACCTCAAGGCGCACCTGAGAACTCACACAGGTCAGTGGGGCGGCCGGGCGCCCGCCGCGCGCGCGGACCGGGGCCCGTGCCAGGCGCCGGGCCACGCCCCCGTTGCCGCCGGCCGGGCGCAAGGGCGCAAATGGCCGGGGACGGTCCGGGCCTCGCCCCTTCTCCCCCCAATCCCCCACTCCCCACCACTCGGTCCCGCGGTCGGCCCCGCGCGCCCCGCGAGGCGTGTCCCAGCTCCCGGAGCCCGCACCCGCCTGGCGACCGCGCCCCCGCCGGGCACGCCCCCTCCCCGGGCGCGCTCGGGCGGGGCCGCGGGGGCGGATGTCGTCATCCGAGTTGGGGGCGGGGACCCCGCCCTGACCCGGGGGCCGGCGCGGGCAGGTGCGGGCGAGCTGGGTGGGGGCCGCCGCGGCGGGGGGGACCCGGACCGATCGGGGAGATGCGGGAGGCCGTGGCACCCGGGAGCCGCGAGGAAAGGGGGTGCCCGGGCTCCCGGTCCCTCCCGCGCCGCCCGGGCGCGCGCTCGGGAGGGGCGGGGCCGGCCGGGCGAGGCGAGGCGCGCGGCGGGCGAAGTTCACGCGGGGACAGGGCTCCCTCTAGCCACTCGGCACATTCTTTGCTCTCCTCTTCCTGTAATTTTTCCAGCGCTCTAAGGTTTAATTTGTCGAAACCAGAGCTTGCGGGGGGCGGTCCCCGGTCCCCGGTCGGCGGCTCGGGGTGGGAGCCACGCCCATCCGGCCGGCGGGGGCACGCCCGACCCCGAGGGCTCCTTGGGGAGGCCACGCTTTCTTTCCAGAAACGAGGGCCCAGCCCCCCTGCCCGCCCCGTCGCCCTGCGCTGCCCACTTCCCGGCCCTGCGCTCACTCTGCCCCGGACGGATGCGGGCGCGCGGCACCTGCGCGGGGGTGGGCGTCCCGGGGCGGCGGCCTGGGGGCCGGGGACCGCCGCCCGTTCTCCGATCCCAGGGCCCCTCGACCTGGGAGTTGATTCATCTGAGGTTGGTTGTTTTGTTCTAAAAACACAAAAGTAGCAACAACAACAACAACAAAAAACCCACCCGCGTTTAAATGGATGACAACTTTCCTCTCCCAGTTCGATGTCAAGAACCGCATCTTTCCTCTGAGCTCACGTGCATCCTTTCGCTGACAAGTCACTTCCTCCCGATTTGGGGCAAGTGAAAGACAAAACAAACCCCCCGTGTGCTTCTGCTGTTTTCTGGTTCCCAGCGGTTCAGCCTCCTCACGCATAAAACGGTCCATCAGATGATGAAAATACCGGTTTAAAAATTGCGGCCCAGGCCCGGCCAGCGTGGCTCAGGGGTTGAACCTCGAGACCTAGGAACCAGGAGGCCAAGGTTCGATTCCCGATCAGGGCGCAGGCCCGGGTTGTGGGCTGGATCCCCAGGGGGTGGGGCGTGCAGGAGGCAGCCGATCCATGCTTCTCGCTCATCATGGATGTTTCTCTTTCTCTTTCTCTCTCTCTCCCCCTTCCTCTCTCTGAAGTCAATAATAATTTTTTTAAAAAATTAAAATTGCGGCCCTCTCTCGGTTGCATTGGTCCACTGAGCGGATCCGAGGTCTGCAAGCGTCCAGGACCCGCGCATCTCACTAGCACTGCGCCCTTGGAGGGCTGCCCCCGCGTTTTCCGGCCCAGGCATGTGGCCCCCCCCCCCAAAAAAACCGCGTGGCAGTCCGGGGTGAAGTGGGGCCCAGGGTGAAGGCGGGCCATTGCTAGGCCCTCTGAGTGTCCGAAGTAAGGGTTTGTGTGGACCAGATGGGGCCTGGGTCCCTGGAGGGAGGGTGTTGGTTTAGCTTGGGCACAACAGGGCCATGGTGGGTGTGGCAGCGAGGGCGGGGCCCAGCTAGGATCCGAACGCCCGGGACCCTGAACACAGGGGCGGGGTGAGCGCTTGGGGCGTGGCTGGGGCTGGGGACCTCTTTGGCGGGGAGGGGCGAGGCCCGCACTAGGCCGGGAACTCACTGGTTGGAAAATCTTTTTTTGCGGCCGGTTTCGCTGTGGCCTCCCATTGGGTGGCACCGGGTTGGAGAACTGGGGAGGGGCTGGGTGAAGGGCGGGCGCGCTGTCGTGGCTGGAGCTGGCCTGGCTGGGGGGTGGGGGGGTATTGAGGGTGGGAGGGCTTTAGTCTGGGGGTGACTTCGGACTTGGCTGGCTGCGGCCCGCCCCCCAACCATTGCTGGGGTCCAGGCTTTGTGGGCCCTGCGCGGACCCCATGCTAGAGGATTGGGGCAGGGCGCTGGGAGCCAGTCTGGGGGTGGGGGGTGTGCCTGGAACCCCAAAGCTGGCCAAAGAGGATGGAACCAGCCCAACCTGAGGTGCACCCCGTCTGTGATGAGTGCGGGAGCCGGCCCGGCCCCCGCTCCAGTTGTGCACAGCTCCCCAGGCCGTCTCCACCGCGGGGGCGCTCGGTTCCGCTGGGACCCTTGGAATCGCATATGCCAGGTCCCGGGTCTGCTCTGCCGCCGAGCACTGCGGGTTTTATTTTTTTAATTTTTTAAAAAATATATTTTTATTGATTTCAGAGAGGAAGGGTTAGGGAGAGAGAGAGAAACACCCATGATGAGAGAGAATCATGGATCGGCCGCCTCCTGCACGCCCCACACTGGGGTGAAGCCAGCCCCGACCCCGGGCCTGTGCCCCGACCGGGCATGGAACCGTGACCTCCTGGTTCCTAGGTGGACGCTCAACCACTGAGCCACACCGGCCGGCTCCCTTGATTCTTAGAGAGAGTGGAAGGGAGAGAAAGAGAGAGACAGAAACGTTGATGTGAGGGAGGCACACCGATCGGCTGCCTTCGCACGTGCCCCGACCAGGGCTGGGGATGGGGCCTGGCAACCGAGGTCACATGCCCTGGACCGGAATCGAACCCGGGACCCTTAAGTCTGCAGGCCCGCGCTCTTCCCACTGCGCCACACCGGCCAGGGCGAGTCATGGTTGATGTCATAGCAAAACGCCCTCGAAAACAAAACAAAGACGCCAACGCATTTGTAACTCAAGCGACTTCTCGTTGGTTGGGTGGGTGGGTCGGCGCCTCGGCCCAAGCCTGGTCCGTCTGCTAAGACGGGCTTTGGAGGGTGTGGGAGGCCGGGAGCTGACTGTCACTGGGGCTGATGGGCTTGGGTGCGAACATTCAAAGACATTCAGAGTAGGAAAGGCCTGGGCCCCCGGAGGCCAGACCTCCCCCCTGCCCCGCCCCCCAGCTCCCACATCCTGCATCTGGAGATTCCTCCGTGCGGGAGGCTGTTGTTGGAAATGGAGGGGCTCGGTGGGCCCCCTGAGAATGGCCCCTCCATCCTTCTTGTCTGCCTATACGTGTCTACCTATCTGTGCCCACAAAGCATTGCTCTGAGAATGAATTCTGTGCCCTGTTTCCCCTCCGTCGCCAGGAGTTACATGTGTACTTGTAGAGAGAGATAGAGACGAGACAGAGAGAGAGAGAGAGAGAGAGACCAAATTCTATGACAAAATAGCAACAGTCTTGCCTGGCCGGTGTGGCTCAGTGATTGAACATCCACCTTTGAACCAGGAGGTCATGGTTGGATTTGGGGTCAGGGCCATGCCCGGGTTGTGGGCTCCATCCCCAGGAGGGGGCGTGCAGGAGGCAGCCGATCCATGATTCTCTCTCATCATGGATGTCTCTCTCTCTCTCTCTCCCTCTCCTTCTCTCTCTGAAACCAGTAAAAATATATTTTTTTAAAATCCCCAAAACATCTCCTTGCCCACGGCCCAGGTCAGCAGCTCTGGGGGTCTGGCCCGCACAGTGGGCGCTGGGCTGGGCACGGCTGTCCCATCCTCCTGCAGGCCCCTAGGGACCGTCCGAGTCACCTGCCCCGTTGGGGGTGAGGGTGGGAAGCCGTCAGATCGCACTCTCTCAGCCATTTCCTGTTAGCGTTTGGGTGGGGTTCGTCTGAAACTGCTGGTTCCCCGCTGAGCCAGGGGTCCCCTCCTGAGCGAGACAGGGCGTTGGGGGGGGATCTGGCTGTACCCCGAGGCCCGCTGCTGGCAGGACCCCCTCGCAGGTGCCCCGGGGCACAGCGGGCCTCGGGGAAGCCGGCAGCCCGCCCGCGTGCAGGGTGAGCGGGGTGAGCAGCCGGGTTCTCTCCCTCCCAGGGCAGCTCCTGGCTGGCCTGGCCGGGGGCCAGCACTTTGTCCCGGGCACATCCAGGCGGCCGCCGCCCGCCCCTCTCCCACACCGCCCCGGGCTGCCCGTGGGGCCGGTTGTGAAACTTCAAACAAATGCAGAAGTGCGCAGGCAGAGCGTGCGAGCCTTCCCCTCCCCCTGGAACCCGCGCGGCCCTTTTCCAGGCCCATCCAGGGCTTTGCACGCATGTACCAGACGTGTGTCTGACCCTCGCCAACGCGTGTCTGTCACCGCTTCCATCCTGGGTGTCGTCTCCATCCGTGTTGCTGGCCGCGGGGCGTTCTGGGGCTCTGTGCACGCAGCCTCCGGGCCTGGGCCGTGGAGGACACAGCCAGCACCTCGAATGTCTCCTTTGTTCATCTTCCCCTGAGGGTATTTTCCCATTGATTTGTAGAGAGAGGGGAAGGGAGAGGGAGAGACGGAGAGAAACATCGATGGGTTGCCTCCTGCATGCGCCCGACCAGGGCCCGGGCCGGGGAGGAGCCTGCCGCCGAGGTACGTGCCCTTGGCCGGAATCGAACCCGGGACCCTTCGGTCTGCAGGCCGATGCTCCAACCACTGAACCACACCGTCCAGGGCTCAGTAAAAACGTATTTAAAAAAAAAATAATAATTAAAATAAAAGACAAAAAGACACATTACGTTTTGTGTGTGTGTGTGTTTTTAAACACATGTTCTTGGTCTCCCCACGGCTGCGGCTCCTGCTGCATCACTGCCGCTCACCCTGAGAACATCTGAAAACCCAGCGACAGAGCCTGCCGCCCCTCCCGCAGGCCGCCCTGCCCTGCCCTGCCCTCCTGCCCGCTGGCTTTTCGTGGCTTCCCCTGGGCCCAGTTCAGCCCCTGCAGCAGCAGCGAGGGACCGTCCCCCAC